TTTTCCCAAATTTAAACCATAAAGGTAATTCTTTTGCATCCTCTTCTGATTCTTCCTCTTTTATTTTATTTATTTATTATTTGTGCATGTTTGTTTTGTGATGGTAAAACTATAGAAGTACATTTTACAGGTACCTGCTAATCCTGGGGCCTCTTCAAGTTTACAACCACCAACTGTTGGTGCTGGCCAAATTTACGGGATAACACAGTTGTCTTCTTCATCGGCTGCTTACACTGGCCCGTATGTCCCCATTACCTCGACTATCGACCAATCAAGCAGCAGTCAAAATGTACAATCATTCCCAGAAAGACCCGGTCAACCCGAATGTCAGTATTACTTGAGGACTGGTGACTGTAAATTTGGGTCCACATGTAAATATCATCATCCACGCGAGTGGACTGCACCAACAATTAATTTTTCACCTACTCCTGTTGGTCTCCCATTACGCCCAGTAAGCATTCAATCCTATTTTCTGATGTCAGAATAATCTGAAATTATCTGTATGGGCAGGAATTAAGTTTGTTATCCGAATACAAAGTGTGTGTATCATGGTCTTTTTTCGCTCTTCGGCGTCTCACGTGATATTTGAAAAAACTGTGGATCACATGAGACAGACACAAACTTCTTGAATCAGATCATTTTCCAAAGTAATATAATATGTAACCTTATAGTGCATCACATTCAATAATCATAATTTTTTTTTTTTCATGGAAAACACATCTTAAGTTACTTCCTTCACTTAAGATGTCCGTGTAACACAGCAGAACCTTTTCCTTTCTATTGTTTTTCCTATACAGTACAAACACTTCATACTTGTGCCTAGTTGCATTATATTTCCATTTTACCGAACGCAGATAATTTTACAAATCAGTCCTCTAGATTATATATATGCATGGTATGTTTTTTATTGTTATGTCTCAATGTTCCTGCTATCATTGGCTATCATTTTCCAAAAATTTTCTCTTGTCTAGGCCAAATAGTGAAAAACATGCCTATTTTTCTTAAGCCTCTTGTTATTTTTTTCTTAGGGCATGCCAATTTGTTCGCACTATGCGCAAAGCGGAATGTGCAGATATGGGCCGTCGTGCAGATTTGATCACCCAATGGGAACTATGACTTACAGCCCGTCTGCATCATCTCTCACGGATATACCCGTGGCTCCTTACCCTGTGGGGTTCACTAGTGCAGCATTGGCTCCTTCATCATCCTCATTGGACTTGAAGCCCGAAACTCTTTCTGGGCTCAACAAAGACCTTGTCCCATCTCAAATATCCGATGTGAATAGCTCAAGTACCTCGGTTGGCTCAATTCTATCAAAACCCGGGCCTGCACCCCAATCTGGTGCTCAGCATTCCGGGCCTGCATCTGCCTCTGCCTCTGCCTCTGCCTCATCAAGTTAAGAGTTTTTGTTCGCCTTGACTAGAATATCTCGGCCGTTTATATCAACTGCGAGCATTCTTGAAAAGAATAAGCTGTCTCATTTTTGCATTATTATAAGCCATTGAATATTGCAAACACAACTAATATCTCTACCAAATTACATTAAAAAGTTTTGATTTTTTTTTTGTCTATTTTTGTACTTTCTTTTCTTGGCGCCTCACTTTGTCATTCTCAATGCCGGTGAAGAGCCGCCGGTCAATTATTATTTTCATAATATGATTAAGTTAAAATATAATGATTATTATATTTTAATATAAATCTTGAATTGATTAATATAAACTATTGATTCTACACAAATCAATAGTTATGATTCGACCTCCTATATCTATTTTGAGGAAGGTACTCATTGGATCTAATAGTGAAATGGACCTCGCTCGGCCTTTGTTCGGACTAATACAACAAGGATATGCTCTCTTCTACCTCGAACGGCCTCTAAACGTACAAGAACTCAACATCGAAAATGGGGTTTTCCGAAGCCGAAAATGGAGTTTTTCGATGAAGAGCCTCCGATGGCTAAGTTAGTATATGGATGAAGATGATGAACATGAACAAAGTATATGAGAGTGTGTAGAGAAGGTAAAAACGTAACTAACCTATCACACCCCTTTATAGGGTGTGGTGTCTTGTTCTCCATGTCTGCTCGGAGAGTTGACCCCGCTGACCAAGCTGCCCGTTCGTACAACCTACAACGTCTCATACTGTCAGGCTTGTCAAGTGTGCAGGCGACTCAATCATATTGCGACACGTGGTCCAATCCTCCTACGGCGTAGTTCCCTACTTAGATGACTTTACCATTTCCACGTCGTCCGGTGGAATAATCATTAGGTCGAACATCTTCTTTCCTCAACCCCATTTTTCTTGTCTCATATTGATCAAGATCAATGGTTTAGTTTTTCTCCAACACATTGTACCATGTGGTGCTCATCCATACTAGGGTTATATAAGACAATGTATGGAAACCATTGCCATCACTAATTTCAGCAATAGAATAGAAGCATTTATGGCTTCGTATCCCTTCTCAGTTTATACTCAAAAAAGCTTTAATGTTGATCCACTTTTCTTTCAAAGCACAATGTAGTGCTCTCATTAGCGAGGAAACACCGCAATGCACTGGTAAAATATATTCTTGATAATGTGTTCCTCTCCCATGATTCGACAACCCGATGATACTCTCGTGTGCATCGAAGAGGACCCCGAACCACAAATATAATCGATGCTCTGAACATTTAAGATAATATATAGCATTATACTTGAGAGAGTTTGGAGTAGTGTTGCTTCAAAGATCAAGAATGTTTTTGTACATTTTACACCCACTTAGAAAATTAGCATTACCTCTAATTTATAAGAAGAAAAATGATTGGTGGAGAATTAAGTTAGTAGCTAATAATGGAGCAACTATGCATTTTGACAATATCTTTTCTTTAGTAACAATATTAACAATATTATATGATTATTTTAAATTATAAAATATCCACCACTTTCATTATGGATCATTAGATTGACCCTAAGATTGAGAACGAGTCAGTTTGGTCCAGAGATCCAAAAATCTTGGGAACTAGACCAAACTTTAGAGATCTTTCGATCTCTAGAATTGAACCAGTTTTAACAAATCTCCATTCCGAATCGAACCGAAATTCGTTTCGGTTCAATTTGGAGATTCGAGTTTAGTGGTCGGTTCGGTACAGATCGGAGATTTCTATTTTTTTTAATAATATTTTTTTTCAAAAATATCCTAGTTACATGCTAGATGGTACATATCAAGGATGAAAGAGAATCACAAACCTCTCTTAATTTCAAAAGATATTTCATCCACTAATAAGTATAGGTGGTTAAAATCTTTTTTTTTTTAATTCATAAAAAGAGTGATAAATATCTTTTAGTTGCAAAATATTATTAATTCAAAATATAATTTAATTTGAAAGATCTCTATGCTAATCGTTTATATGTCAAAGAATTCGCAAATGATAAGACGTACTCATAGACAATAATCAATTAAAGATAGTGACTTGTTAAATAAAAGAATATTTTGTAACTATATAATGTCCAAATGAATTATTCTCTTCTGAAATTGTGAGTTGCGCAAATAGAACACATAAAGTTGGTTTCCGAAAAATGAGGATATTTTATCTTATTAAGTTCTAATTATTAATTTATTAATGAAATAATTTGTATATCAGTTCATAATCCAATATTATGGTAAAAAATCTATAAATATATTTTTATTTAAAAATATATAATCTTTAAATAAATATATCACCTTTAAATAAATAATACTCTCTAAATTTTGTGAAAGACTTACTTCATAAAGGTCGATTTTGAAACATTGAATATTTAAATTTGATTAAGTTATTATAATTAGTAATTTTCTTAATAAAATTTTCACATGTTGACTACCAAATTTTGTGATAGGAAGAGTATATTAATTTAACTTCTTTTCAAAAAATTGATTCAAAAATGAGATCTTAGATTTAATAATGTCTCATATGGAGTACGGAAATAAAATAATTATTTTTCAATCATTAAATTCTATTAACATTCAACAGTGGCTTTTTATTCGCAATTCAAATTTAAATGTAATTTATGATAGTTTTATGGACATCGACGTAATGTATATAATCTTTAATTGTAATTCAATTTAAATAACATTATGTACAAAGATGAAAAACAAATATAAAATAAAATATTATATGCATATGGATTTTATAATTGAAATCGATTCTTGTTCGGTTCTTCAGTTTGGTACAATTATTCTTAGTTCAGTTCGGTTCTCGGTACGGATATTTTTTGAATCTCCAAAGTCGTACCAAAAAAATTTCGGTGCGGTTCAGTTCGGAGATAATAAAAAGTTCAAGGGATATTTTTATCTCATATTTTCTTGCCTTTTTAAGATATATGTCACGGGAACCTCCCTTAAAGAGGATAAAGCAAAGGAACCTAGTAATCTATGTTCAACTATTTCTTCATACCACCAATCCTGTCTTAAAAAGGCTCCTGGTCCCTGCGGAAAGGAAAAAAAATTCACGCTTTTCCTTTCGGGAAGGGAGGATTAGGAGAGTTCCTATATCTCCTTGTAAGGCTTGTAGGAAAACCCATTGTCGGACTCGCTTACTCTGGTCTTGTTACCTTTGATGGTAGACATCAAACTAGGTCCGTCGGTCAGAAGATCAGAATGAATTTGGTTCGATTTTCAGAACGGTTCGATAATTTTCAAGTCTCATGCACATCCTTACATGACCCTATATATCTAGCTTTATACACACACACACACGCATATATATATATATATATATATATATATATATATATCACAACACTAAAAGTCGGTTTAGGTGCCCACCTAGGCGGCACGGGACTGCAAAAATTTTCATTTAAACAGCCCTTCTAGGCGCTGGAGAAATTAAGTGACGCCTAGATTGTTGCGAAGTTAGTCACGCCTACACTGATTAGAAGGTCCAGTTGCCGACTTAGGTGGTGCAAGACGCCGCCTACACTCCCGTTTTCGTAATTTTTCATATATGTGTTTTATATTTTTTTTTTCCAAAATTTAATAAAAAATATTTTTATACATAAAATGTATAATAATTAAAATATTAAAAATAAATAATAATTATTAAAAATAATTTTTTTATACATAAAATATACAATAATTATAATATAAAAATAATAAACATGTAAAATAATAATAAGTATATAATATTTTTAAAAATATTTGTATTTAACCTTACCAATTAGTATATTTTATAAAATATAATTTATAAGTTATTCATAATTTTAAATATAAATAAATTTATTTGTATTTTTACAACCCTGCTTATTCTACAACTAATTCCTGTCTATGCGCTCGCTAGGTGGCGGGCCAATGCGCTAGAACCCAGCCCACCGCATAGCTAAGTGCCACCTTTTAGAACCTTGATATATATGCACATGCATACGTTGAGGTTCCACAGGAGTGGTTCATTTAATCCGCTTCTAACTTTTCATTATTTCATTTTATTTCACGTTTTTTTTTTTCTTTTCACTTGTCTGGTGAAGCCCAACCAATTATTTTATAATTATTTGGAACATGGTGTTTTCTGACTTTTAAAATGGTCCTTATAACTTTTTCGTGGTCTTATTTTTCAAGAAGAGTCTGCTGGGTGCGTTGGATAATATGGAAGTTGGATTTATCCCACTTTGATATTTTCTTATTTTCTATTTTCTATTTTTCCTTTCGCCAAAAACAAATATTTGTTAGAAATATTTTAGTGGACAACATATGTAAATTAAATGTGTATAGTTGTCATAATATTATTCAATTAAAGTGATCTATTAATTTGTAATTTGGAATAAAGAGAGTATCAAATTATTATGGATTTAAAGTGTAGATACCATTATGGGATTTTCTGTTTGTCGAGGGACCGGACTGAAAATCATATGATTCTTATTTATTTGGTTATGGCCCCAAACGACGAAAATGTACGAACAGATTTTGGAAGAGGTGCTTTCTCCCTTTAAAAGCACCCATCTTCGCTTCAGAAAAATATACGAGAAACATATGGAAATACATAAAAATATATTCCAATACAAACTCTACGGATAAGAATCTGCTATAAGGTTTCGATCATTTGGAAGACCATATCAGTCCAACAAGATTGTTTGGAAGAACACAACACTCTAGTAAACTGAAGAACACGAGAATTCTCAAAACTATGAATTCATGTATGCTTCTGCTATTCGGTTTGATTCTCATTTATTCAATATGAATGCTCTTGGAATAAAGCGGTGTTCGCATAAGGTTAAATTTCCAACAAGTGGTATCAGAGCCAAGTTCATCTTGAATTTACGAGAATCAATCTTAATTCGATTGCTACGTGTTGTTTCCTGTTATGTGTGCTATCAATTTATAATTTCCGACTGCTTTCGGATTGAGGCACAATTATATGGATTCACTTTAATTGTTGTCGCAATATCTGTTCGGACTCAAATATTTCTGGTCTTGATTAGCATTGTGAATTGAATAATGTTATTGGCCCAACTCAAACTAAGAATCCTGCCAATTGCTGTGAGTCATGTTTTGTGAAATCAGAATTGGGTCTTGGCTTGTTTATTGATTCAGAATATTAATTTGGAATTAAGTTGATAGAATTTGAAGAAAATGATTCCTTATGGTTAATTGGATTCAAATTTTGAAATCATGGGCTG